CCCCCCCATCTACACATATGTGTAAGGCACTGTGGTAGACATTAGTAATACAAAAATAAAAAAGATTTGGTCAACAGTTAAATAGTGGGGCACAGGATAATGAGAGAGTGAAAAGAAACTATAGTACCCCATGGAAATAATACACAAATACTGCAATTATAATGGAGTAAGTGATAATAAAATTATAAATAAAATGTTATGGAGGAGAGAAGAGGTCACATCCAATTCTTCCAGGAAGATGTAAAGTTTGAGGTAAGACCTACAAGATGAAAGATAATTACTAAGCAGAGAAGGTGATGGAAGGGATTTTAGCCTTCCAAAAGTAAAGAGGCAGAAGAAAATATATTTGGGAAATAGAAATTAAGTACAGGCAGAGCACATAACATAATAGGGAGAATGAATCACATAAAATCTGAAAAGGTGAGTGGGACCATGATCCTTATAGGTAAAAATAGAAGCTGGAGGCTTTGATGTATATGCATTTTAAAAAGGGAAATGACAGTACTGGCATTTTAGAAACATCACTTCAGTAATAATAAGGTGAAGAGATTAGAGGGTAGCAACATTCTAGACAAAACAACCAGTTAACAACAAACTACTGAAACAGTTCAGGCAAAAGACTCATGTCTCTAATATTTACTTCCAATAATTTTCAGGACTGATATAAGGCAGAGGCTGTAGGAATGAGAGGAGAAAACAGATAACTGTGTCAATTAGAAGATAGAATTTATAACCTAAAAACTGATTAGAAATACAAACAGAGTACCATTACAAACAATAAGTAACAAAGTAAGAACTGTGTGGAAGGGATGGAGAGAGAAGAACTATGAGTTTAGCTTTGGCCTAGGTTGAGGTGCCTGAGAGATGTGCAGAAAGAGAAGTCCAGTAAGAGAAACGAAAGATTTAGGTTTGGAGGTCAGACTATGGGGAACACCAGCAGGAAATCAGAAGGTGGGAGAAATGAAGTACTATTCATTCTCCCCATACTCTTCTTGCATTACTGGTTCTGGCAGTATTCTATGTTTTATGCTCCCCTCTTACGATTCTATACTCTCTCACAGCTGTGGTTACATGATTTGTCTCTCTTTGTCCTGTCAGGGTAGGGGCAATGGCTTCTCATTGTTAATCAGTTTTTTATTTATTGCTCCCCTTGATCCTGCTCATACCATTGGTAATAGTCCCATCATTAACCCCCTTCATTTAATGAATGAATAAACAAAATGTGGTTTATACATATAATAGAATATATTCAGTCTTAAAAATGAATAAAATTTTGACACATGCTACAAAGATGAACCTTGAGGACATTAGGCTAAGTGAAATTAACCAATCACAAAAAGTCAAGTATCATATGATTCCACTTATATGAGGTACCTAAAGTAATCAAATTCATAGAGAGAGGAAGTAGAAGAATAGTTAACTAGGGGCATAGGGGAGAATGTGGAGTTTAACAGCTACAAAGTTTTAGTCTGGGATGAAGAAAAGGTTATGGAGACAGATGGTGGTGCTAGTTACACAATGTGAAGGTGCTAATGCCACTGAACTATACACTTAAAAATTGGTTAAAATGGTAAATTTTGTGTTATGTATATGTTATCACACACACAAAACTCTCTTCATTTAAATCTTTTGAATGTGCCATCTGTTTTCCTGTCAAGACCCATACCGATACGTTGATTTACCATAAATTCCTAACTCCAAGGGATTAGAAAGACCACAACTGTCCATCTGTATAGCAATTTATAGTTTAACTGCCTCCAAGAAATCAAACTAGAGAGCAGACAGTAAGTAAAAAGTGCTACAAAAATTTCAGTTCAGTCCTGGACGGTGTGGCTCAGTTGGTTGGAGCATTGTCTGTACACAGAAAGGTGGTAAGTTCAATTCCTGGTCACAGCATGTATGGGAGGCAACTGATATTTCTCTGTCACATCGATATGTCTGTCTGTCTCTCCCCACTTCCTCTCTCTAAAATCAATGAAAAACATATCCTCTGGTGAGAATTTTAAAAATATATTTACGTCCACTAACTACATATTCAGAATATGTTTACTTAATATCATGTACACAAAATACATTGTCCACAAGACAACTTTTTTTTTTTTTTTTTTTAAATATATCTTTATTGATTTCAGAGAGAGGAAAGGAGAGGGAGAGAGAGAGATAGAAACATCAATGATGAGAGAGTCATTGATCGAGCCCGCAACCCGGGCATGTGCCCTGACCAGGAATCGAACCTGGATCGCCTGGATACCAGGTCGATGCTCAACCGCTGAGCCATGCCCGGCCGGCCAAGACAACTTTTTTAAAAAGAATAAGAAAATACCTACCAAGCTTTTATCCGCATTGGAGCTAGCTCTGTTATCATTAGGATTTGCTGAAGATAAGTATCTGGGAAGAAAAAATATTTTAAAAGTAAACAAATCAAAAAACTCTTTAATGTCCAATAACAACCAATAACAAATACAACTGTTTATTTTTTGTTCAGTATTATACTTGCTCTGCTTTTTATTTATTTATTTTTTTTAAATATATCTTTATTGATTTCAGAGAGGAAAGGAAAGGGAGAGAGAGAGATAGAAACATCAATGATGAGAGAGTCATTGATCGGCTACCTCCTGCACGCCCCTGACTGGAGATGGGGCCCGCAACTCGGGCATGTGCCCTGACCAGGAATCAAACCCCAATCGCCTCGACCCTAGGTCAATGCTCAACCGCTGAGTCACGCCTGGCCAGACACTCTGCTTTTTAAGAAAAATATATATATGTCTTTATTGATGTCAGAGAGAGGAAGGGAAAGGGGAGAGAGAGGGGGAGAGAGAGATAGAAACATCAATGATGAATGAGTCACTGATCGGCTGCCTCCTGCACTCCCCCTACTGGGGGATCAAGCCTGCAATCCAAGCATGCGCCCTGACCGGGAATTGAACCTCAATCTCCTGGATCATAGGTCAATGCTCAACCATTGACCCATGCTGGCCAAGCAATCTGCTCTGCTTTTTAGAAAACTGAGTATAGGTAAGGTACTACTGCTTCTGCTGCCACTGCCCCTGCTGCTTTCTCTACCATGCTACAATTACTATTATTAACACTTCTATCACCACCACTACAGCCACTGCCTTGGTTAACCAATAGAACTTTCTCAAAAAGATACCAAATAGCTACAGTATATGTACAGCACTTATGAGGCAGTTGTTAACGTACTAGACAGTAATAGTGAAAAAGAAAAGATAATCAAGTGTCTTTTAATTACTATTAAATGTATGTAACAGCCCTTGACAGGTGGTTCAGTTGGTTGAAGCATCATCTCATACACCAAAAGGCTGTGAGTTTGAGTCTCGTCAGGGCACATATCTAGGTTGCTGGTTTGACCCCCTGCTAGGGCAGATATGGGAAGCAACCGATCGATGTTCCTCTCTTACATTGTTTCTCTCCCCCACGCCCCCGCTTCCTCTCTCACTAAAAGCATTAAAAACATATCTTCAGGTGAGGATTAAAAAAACCCACAAAAAGCAAACAAACAAATAAACAAACAAACATATATAATAGTGGTCTAAAAGAAACAGCAGGAAAATAGATGTTACTTCCTATGTTTTCCTTGAAAAATTATTCGGGTCAACTAGAGAATCAAATAATCAGGAGGCAACAGCAGGGGCTATCTAGCAGATTGGTAGAGAAAAGGTCCCATGTGACAAATGACAAATTCTAGATGTAGTACAATTTAATTCCATTGACTATTAAGTAATTCAGAAATTCAGTGTGAGATTCTGCATTATGTAAGTAGAAGTATATAAAAAAGCCAGTAGAATCTGAGTACATAGCAGATCACACTATTTGATCTCGAAGCTATCTTCTAAATTTAATATGCTATATAACTGAAGTTGATATTTAGCTTTCTGCAAAGTTAATAATAAGTTTCTCTGAATGCAGCACTGGAAATGTAAGAACACACCAGTACACATCCATTCATTCTTCTACTTCTTGTCTTATTTTTTTCTTTCAAGGTTCTTTTGCATATTATATTGTTGCTTTTATATAGAATCTGGTCATTTAGATAACTTTTTATGAAAGAGGTATTAGATTAGAAAGGTAGCTAAAAAGTTTAAGGTTATTTTTTAAATCATTTTAAATTCAGCTATACTTTAGCAATAAAAATCTCTGCCCTTGGTAACTGAAAGTATGTTTAGATCTCAGAAGTAACAACTTCAGAAGTTTTCTATTTTATGCCAATAATTCAAAATTATACTTACATATTATAGAAGGACTAACCAATACTTTGCTGACTTTTTCTTTATTAAGAGCAACTGTCCCGTTGACCATTCACACAATATGTAATTACTAAACAATATTATATTACTCAATATGGTATTGGTACTCAACAACACAGTTCAATTTCTACTTTTGAGAACCTAGGAAGTTAGTTTGGGATATGCAACATATGAATACAAGGAAAAACCAGAGAACATAAGTGCATGACAACACAGTACAAGTAGTATAATGTTTATCTAATTCAAAATTAGCTTTGTATAGATAAACCTAAATAATTAACTGCTATTATCTACAGAAAATCCAAAGAACACTGGGGGTTGTTTACATCAACATCTCAAGTGTTTCAAAAACCAAGCCAGAGAATAATTTATAAAAATACCGAAAAATAAAATAAAAAATTGAAAGGATGCTTCAGCAAAAACCACTTTAAAGCTCCTCTGTGTATTTATTTCAATATAAAATAGCTACATTATTATACTCATGGAGTGTTATGTGGGGAAAAAGAATTAAAATACGGGACTTTTCTAAGGGTCAAAACTCACATACTACCTACCTGGTTGGTTATGCAACAAAAAGTACTCAATACTGTCTAACATTTGGGATACTGGAAAAATTTCATAAGCTAAGACTAAACTGCCTTCTTGTTTTCTAAACTTGACCTGAGTTAGTTCTTATAAAAAAGCTGACTAAAATGACAAGACACTTCACTTTACAATAAGGTTAGCTTATAATAACCTCAAATTTAATTACTCCAAGCAATTCAAATATCTAATACCACTCTAATGGAATATAATTTAATTAAAAGTATATATTTTGAACATAAATTTAATAAGTGGATTTAACACACCCAGTAAATGTTGCCATATGGCTTGCTGTATATTGGTATAACACTTTGTTTAGATTTCTATTGTGTAGCACTTACCAACCTATATTATACACTTTGTCCATATCCTTGCTAGGATATGAGCATCTCAAGAGAAGGTACTATATCTTATTCATCCTCTCCCTGTACCTTGATGTTTAGTACATACCCGACAAAAAGTTGTCAAACATGTCTGCTGAATGAATGAATGAATGAATGAATGCTCAGAGAAGTGAAATAATGTTAAATGTTTAACTTACATTTCAAGTCCAAACTAAAGCTAACATTAGCTCATACTACTAATAATATTTAACACTGGCTTGCTTACTTCATGTAAAGCATTGTTCTAAGTGTTCTGCTGTGTTTTGATTTATTTAACCCTTACAACAACCCTACGAGCCTAGTATTATTATTATCATAATCATCATCCCTGTTTTTGCAGAAATGGAGGCATAAAAAGTCAAAGTCACTTGCGTAAGGTCACAAGGTCTTACATGTTATAAGACATAGTGAATTCATTTAGTGGTTTTTGGGAGGAATCACAATTTTCAAAGGACTAAAACTTATAGGCCTTTGGTAATATATCAATATAGTGATGATAATGCTAGAATACTATTGTTCCAAAATGTGTTATATAACCAGAACTCTTTGGATAACAAGATTAACCAAAATATTAGTATTAAAAGAAACTTTTAACCTATTAATTGCTATAACTTGAAGATACATAGTGTATCATTCAACAAAGAACTTCTGAAAAACCATATCCTGAACATGGATGACTCTGGAAGAAATTAAATATGATACTAGAAATATTGTGCGTTGCTGAGACATGGTGCATTAACATATCTCTTTATATACCATTAAATCTACTTTAAAGTTCTTAAAATGATTTTTAGATATCCCTAAGAAAATAATACAACACAAATTAGTACCTATCCCTAAAATCATACTTACCTACGATTGCTATAATATGTAAATCCTACAAAAGGTAGTTGATTGCCAACAAAAGCTTTAGGTATAGGGAATGTTTCCTCATCTCCTTTATCTTCTTCCAAGTCATCAAAGTTACTTGTATCAATGTCACTACTCAAATCAGGTACAACTGGTGCTACAGCTAGAGATAAAAACAAAATTAGTAGTTCAGTTCAAATTTAATGTAAATATAAAGTGGAACAAAGATTCCATACCAACTACTAATGGTTTCTGACACACAAATAATTTGCAAACCACAAATTCCAAATGGGTTGAATCCTACTATAGTGAGCTTTATTAGGATAATTAATCAATTGATACTGATCATGTGTAATTCTGTGAAATAATTATTTTGAAAATCTCCTATATTTATCATCTGTACCTCAAGTTTAATCTGAATATTACAAGTAGAGTGTTATTAAGGTTTGTTTTAGAATACACCATAGTATAAAATATGCAAAAGCAGTTAGAACTACAGAAAAGACTTTTCAGAAATTATAGTATAACAAATTATACTCAAAGTTCATTAGTTTCAAATACAGTATTTTGTTTGTTAATATGGTCTATAGCAAACTAGAAATCAAGTTTGGTATTGAAATATTTGTACTTAATCTAAAATCTAGATGATCTGTAACCCCCCTGACTCGGTATCTCTATAAGATTAAGTTATAAGAAGCAAAGTACTTAGAATTATATTTTCAAACTAGCTACCTTCTCTGAATCAAGTGATTAAGGAACAAGTCTGTGAGGTATTTATAAAATGGCTATAAGAAAAAAAGGTAGGGATATAAAATATGCATACAGAATCTTTACGATTTATAAAATTGATGGGGGGCAAGGCTCAGATGTACTTAATAATATAAAACCATACATCACAATGCTAAAGTCTTAATAACACAGAAAGAAATACCATATGAAACTACTACTATTACTATCTTCTTTGGAGCTTACTACAGAGGGTACATCTAAAAATAAACTTTGACTTGGGGTGGTGAACACATAGTACAATATGTAGCTAATGGATTATAGAATAGTACACCTGAAATCTATGTAATTTTATTAACCAATGTCACCACAATGAATTCAATAAAAATAAAAATAAATTTTAGGATAAATGATTTTTTAGTTTAAAGATACAGAGAATAAACATCACTGAAATATTATTAAAATATTGAAGAATTACTTTAGAGACAATCATCTCATGTTCCTTAACTGACCTGGTTTCATGATCTTAACCTCTTATATACAAGAATCATTTTTCTATTGACTCATCTGGGTATTCCAGGCAAGAAATAACTATTGTTGCCCAGCCGGGCGTGGCTCAGTGGTTAAGCATCGACCTAGGATCCAGGTGATCAGGGTTCAATTCCCGGTCAGGGCACATCCCCGGGTTGCGGGCTGCAGCCGATCAAAGACTCTCTCATCACTGATGTTTCTCTCTCTCTCCCTCCCTCTCCCTTCCTCTCTCTGAAATCAATAAAGATATATTTAAAAAAAAAAAAAGAAAGAACTATTGTTGTGCATCTCAGATGCAATGATCTATTTGATGAATATTCAATAAAACAACAAATTTAACTGGTAACTGTAATAGTGAAATAAGCCAATCTCAAAAAGATAAATATTGTATGATTCCACTTATTTGAGTAACCAAAATAGTCAAATTCATAAAGATAAAAAGTAGAATGGTGGCTACGGGGGGCTAGAATTAGAAAAAAATGAAGAGTTATTGCTTAATGTGTACAGAGATTTAGTTTGGGATGATAAAAATATCTGGAGATAGATGATGGTGAGGGATGCAAAACAAGGTAAAGGTGATTTTAGTGCCACTGAGCTTTACACTAAAAAAAATGGTATATTTTGTTATATATACTTCATCACAATAAAAAGATAATTTTTCTTTTTCTTTATTTTTAATCATTTTTCATTTTTCAATCACAACTGATATACATTATATTAGTTTCAAGCGTACACTCCAGTGATTAGACATTATCTTACTAAACGATCATCCCAATAAATCCCATCTGACACCACATACAATGGAATATTATTGACTATATGCCCTATGCTATACTTTATATCCCCACGACTATTCTGTAACTACCAATTTGTACTTGTTAATCCCTTCAACTTTTTCACCCATCCTCCCAGCCTGTTTCCCATCGGGCAGCCTTCAAAATGTTCTGTAGCCATGAGTCTGTTTCTGTTCTACTTGTTCATTTATTTTGGTTTTAAGATTCAACTGTTCATAGATATGTATTTATTGCCACTTTATTGTTCACATTTTTATCTTTTTTCTTTTCTTCTCTTTTTTTTCTTCTTAAAGACGACCCTTTAACATTTCATGTAATACTGGTTTGGTGGTGATGAACTCTTTTAGCCTTTCCTTGTCTAGGAAGCTCTTTACACGTCTTTTGGTTCTAAAGAATAGCTTTGCTGTGTAACCTTGGTTGTAGATCCGTGCTTTTCTTCACTTTGAGTACTTCTTGCCAATCCCTTCTGGCCTGCAAAGTTTCTGTTGAGAAATCAGCTGACAGCCTTTATGGGAGCTCCCTTGAAGGTAACAGCTTTTCTCTTGCTGCCTTTAAGGTTCTCTCTGTCACCAACCTTTTGCATTTTATTTATGATGTGTCTTGGTATGGGCCTCTTTGGGTTCATCATGTTTGGGGCTCTGCGCTTCCTGGACTTGTATGTCTATTTCCTCTACTAGGTTAGGGAAGTTTTTTCAAGTAGATTTTCAAGTTCTTGCTCTCTCTCTTCTTCTTCCAGCACCACATGATGTGAATGTTAGTACTCTGCATGAAGTTGTCCCAAAGACTCCTTACATAACCTTCATTTTTTTGGATTCTTTCTTTTAGTATTCTGATTGGGTGTTTTTTACTAACTTATATTCCAAATTGCTGATTTGATTCTCAGCTTCATCTACTGTTATTCCCTGTAAATTAGTCTTCATTTCAGTTAGTATCCATTTCTGACTGGTTCTATTTTACGGTTTCTATGTCTGTTTTCACGCTTGAAGTTCTCACTAAGTTCCTTGAGCTTCCTTATAACCATTGTTTTGAACTCTGTACCTGGTAAATTGTCTCCGTTTTGTTTCGTTCTTTTTCTGGAAATTTTTCCTGTTCTTTCATTTGAAACCTGTTTCTTTGTCTCTACATTTTGGCTGCTTTCCTATGCTTGTTTCTATGTATTAGGTAGAGCTACTACATCTCCTGGACTTGCTAGAGTGGCCTTGTGTAGTAGGTGTCCTGTAGGGTCCAGTGGCGCAGCCTCCCCAGTCATCTGAGCTGGGCACTCCGGCTGCACCCATGTGGGCTGTGTACACTCTCCTGTTGTAGTTGAGCCTTGATTCCTGTTGACATCAATGAGAGGGACTGACTCCCCAGGTCAACTGGCTGCAAGGACTGTCTGCATCTACAGTGGAGTAGCTACTGTTCAGGAGTCAACCGTATGGAGCAGAACTTGCTTCAATGGTGCCCTAGTGCTCACCAAGTCCGACCCTTGGGTGTGTTGCTTGTGGAAGTGGTAGGGTTGTAATTCGGAGTGGTATAAAGCTATCCACCAAGTGCACTGGCTCTGGGGCCTCCTGAGAGGTGCAAGGTCAGCCACCACATGTGCTCTGGCTGAGGCCACCTGGCATAAGCTACAGAGCAATCTGCAGATGGCTGATACTTGTGCTGGACTTGGAGGTACCCAGGAGTGGCCAAGCAGTGAACCAAGGTCAGCCGCCTCTAGTGTACGGTCTGGAGCAACTTAGCAAGAGGTAAAGGGTATGCAGAGGCCAAATGCTGCATGTTTGAGAGATTTTAGGAAAGTCCAAAGCATGACGCAAGAGTGGCCATTTGTAAGGAAAAGCCACTGGAAATGGCTTGGGTGGGCCCACAAGCTGGGTGGGGCGGGGTCTCAGGGAGTCACCAGGATGAGGCAAACTGTGAGCCAGACTGATGGAGACTCAGATATGGAACCAGCCTGCTGTTCTGGGGGGACGGGGGTCTCAGGAAAGAAACAATGGCGTCTGCTATTACTTTTGTTTGGCAGAAAGCTGCACCCCTACCCCAGCTCTCTCCCTGATGACAGACACTTCAGTCCCTACCAGTATGTCACTGGTTCCTTTCAAGCTGCTGCCCTAGCACTGGAGCTCAGAGGGAATGAGTCCAAGTAAGTGCACAGGCCCTTTAAGAGAAACTGCCTGGGACTCCAGCAGCCCTTAGTCTTACATAGCCATAATCCCTGCTGGTTTTTATAGCCAGAAGTTATGGGAACTTCTCTTCCTAGCTCTGGGACCCTGGGCATGGGGGTCTAGTGTGGGATTGTGACCCCTTGCTCCTCAGCGGGGACCCCCAAAGGCAAAATATCCCTCCCAGTTTTTATCCAACACTTGTGGGTGTGGAACCAGTCCCTACCTGTCACAATGTGGCTTCTTCTTCATATACTTAGTTGTAGGACTTTTGTTCTACTAGATTTCAGGCAGTTCTGAATGATGGTTGTTCTGTAGTTTAGTAGTAATTTTGATGTAGTTGTGGGAGGATTCTAGTACCGCATTTACCCACATACCTATCTTGACTAGAAGTCTTGAGATAATTTTTCTTAAAGTTTATTTTAAAAAAAACAAAAAACAGCCCAATGTAATGCTGAGAAAGCCTAAACTCCTATATCCCTGGAACTTGCTATACTCCAAATTCTTTATCCATAAAGCCTACGCTAATCATCTCTCCCATGAAAATATAATTCTAAAAGAGAGGACACTAGACTAAATCCACAGAACTTAGAATATACATATACACATATGCTTATAAATAAATTTTATTTTTGTTTTTACTCCTCACCTGAGGATATGTTTTTATTGATTTTTAGAGAGGAAGAAAGAGACAGAGAGAAAGAAACATTGATCAGCTGCCTCTGTATGTGCCTCAACTGGAAATTGAACCTGCAACATAGGTTTGTGCTGTGACTGGGAATAGCACCCACAATCTTTCTGGTGTACAGGATGACACTCCAACCAAATGAGCACCTGGCCAGGGCAATTCTGCTGTTTTTAACTAATGTGAAAACTTACCTCATGAGCTGATAGTTGCCACTGTTACCATTTTATGTATTTCTCACCAGCTATAGGTGAATTAAGTAATGGCAATATTTATATCAAATGAAGTTATGAATGGCAAAGTGTTTTGCAAGTTACCATGCATTACATTAACATGGTATTATTAAAAATATATTATTATATGTAATAAATATTATCATTTTTAACTACCAATAAGTGTTGATTCCCTACATTTCTAGTCTGTATAATACTGAATAGTGGAAATCTTTAAGTGGTACATGGTATTCCAGAAGAGCAAGGGCTTTGGAGTAAAAAAGACCTAGATATGACTCCTGACATTGATATTCACTAGAAGTGTGACTACAGCCAAGTTATTTTGGTCTTTTTCTTTAATCTGTCTTCTATCTTTAATCCCACTCCTGTCATTTCTTTAATTCTATCTGAAATTATTAGAAAAAGCAATTTTATAAACTTAATACTTTGTACCTATAAATTAAATGAATAAGATCAGAAAGCTCACAGAAATTCTGCCAAAAATCAAGCTATTTTCTATCTTACTCCCACATTACCAAGGAACAGATGGTAAAGATTAAAAATTGTCTTGTAACTTGTACACATGTGTTAAAACTACCAAAAGAACTATTACAAAAGGTAAGCAATTTTGCCAACAAAAATTAGGGAGCTGAAAAGAATTAAAACTGTTATATAATTTTTAAAAACTTAGCAGGTCAGAAATGTCAGTTCAGAATAAAAGTATTCTTGGAATTTTAGGGGTGGGAAGTGAAGAAGGGATAGGAAAAAGGAAAGGGAATAAGAGAACAATATGTTCTACAGACTTTAATTTTTCTTTATTTTATTTTTTTAATAACCACAAAATAGGAGCTAATAGGATTAGGAAAAGCTTTTAAAATGTTTGCAAGTATGTTATACCCAAGTATATGATAGCAAAACCATACATAACAATATAGAGCTTTAAAAAATAAATGATAATAATACTAACAATTATCTAATTATAGAAATTCTTTAAAAATAAAGTTCTTTTGATTTAAATCAATGAAGTAATTCGCTTTACCTGCTTTTTTCATAACTACAAACAGTTATATTAAGGTGGTATAACAATATCATAAAATACCATCAATTTGGACTCACTCCCCAATTCCACTAGACTATGAGCTCCACAAGGTAAAGAACGTTTGTTGATTTGATCACTGCTGTTTTCCTAGTGCCTGAAATAAAATAGTGCTTAGCAAATAGTAGGTGTTGAATATTTGTTTACTAGGTTACCGCCCCTCCTAATTAATTATCAGCTTTTCAATACACGAAATCTGTCCTCCTTACTTTTTATACTCATTTACTGTGTGGTTATTCTAGTTATTTATGCATTGTTTCACTTTGAAAAAGAATTTAAAGCAATACAAAAGATTCTTTGTAGTTCTCCAGTCCCCTTTTAAATTTTCTTCAGATTTATAAACATATTTGCATGTTCTCAGCCTTCTTAAACTTTACTAAGAGCATAACTTGAATAAAAACACAGAGCTTTTCAATGCAACCATTCATCACCTCACTCTCTACTCATCTGTCTTGCAAGTTTCTCATGCAGCATGAAGGCAACAACCATGTCACATTTACTTATGAGGAGGAGGAAGTTCCTTACTTTCCAGTGTATAAGTATTAATAAATTCTCTCAAGGTCAATCTGCTACTGTAGCTTCTCCAGATAGTGTGTCATTCAATGTCATTCTGTCTAGCGATATAATTTCTTAATTTCCACAGGAATTTATTTCTCCTTTTCCCTTCTCAGTCCATTTTCTACTTAGTACAATGTACACACAGTACTCAAAGACAATATAACTATTTATTTAAAAATATTTAATAACTAGCCCAGCCAGGCATGGCTCAGCGGTTGAGCATTGACCTAGGATCCAGGCGATCAGGGTTCGATTCCCAGTCAGGGCACATGCCGGGTTGCAGGCTCGATTAATGACTCTCTCATCATTGATGTTTCTATCTCTCTCTCTCCCTCTCCTTTCCTCTCTCTGAAATCAATAAAGCTATATTAAAATATATATATATTATATATGTATTTGATAACTAGAATACTTCACTAATTTGGGGAAACATGCATGATCTTTTCTTCAAAATTAACAAGATTTTTCTCCCCTGAAAGTCTCAACTAGATAGGCCGTCCTTAGGACAAATACCTAATTTGTAACTGTTCCTAAAAATCACACAGCTGAGTTCATTTCCATTATTACTGTTCCTTGTTATTACTATAGCAGGAATGAGGGGCTGGTATACAATATCCTTTCTTTGACAAGTAAAAGGGAAGAAAGTTTCTGAGACTTCAACAAGGGAAAGATAAATTCTTACTTGGTCTCCCAAATCCACAGTGATGGGAACTTTGGTGCCATTATAATTTTGATTGAGCTATGTTGAACAAGGTTTTCTGTGAATCATCATATAGATTTAACTTCTCTTTGAAACAGGGAAATGTTCTAAATGGACTGAAAATGAACTTATTGCATTCTACATATTTTTATTTGTGAATTGCAAGCTTCAACCCTGCTGGAATCAGTAAAAATAGAGAACTTGTATTTTCACAATAAATACATTTTAATTTCATTAACCCTTATTTATTTACTCTTCCACAATGAGACACTAATGTCTAAAACAAAGAGCAATTCAACTAAGATCAAAATCAAATTATGACTGCTGAGCCCAACTCCATTACATGTAATATAATATTTCATTTTGGTATCTTGAGTAAAATGTAAGAGAAGCAGGAGAACAATTTTCCCTATTATCAAATATTCTCTTTAACTACGTTAGGACAATACCCATATTACATCTGTGTACTTTAGATTTTCACCAGATATACACATATATTAGCAAGGCAGTTTCAATGGACTACCATAACTACTTTCAAATATTCACTGTAGTATGCAAGAAAAATTAACTTACTGTCTCGAAGTGTTTCCCAAGCCCACTGATCATTTTTGAAGAAGAGGTGTCGTTTGATTTCTTCTACACCATTTCGCCCTAATCTCACCTCTCTGAATAGAGAGAGAAGGAGAAAAGTTATTAATAAATTAAGATATTATTATAATCTGTCCAGATTTATTGTGGGCATAATGCTAAATCTGGGCATAAATATAGATCTAAATCTCCCTAAAATTATATTCAATGTCAGCATAATTTTCAGCTTAACTAAAAAATAAGTTGAAGGCTGAGAATATTAAAGAATTTTTTAAAGAAAAAGACACAGATTTGTTGATACTCCATGACTTCTGTTGACAAAAAAAATCCAGATGAATCACTAATCCTGCTTCATAAGCATAATAAATAAGACAGTAAATTTTCTTGACAGCTTTTTTTTGTTAATCCTCACCAGAAAATATTTTTCCCAATGATTTTTAGAGAGGGTGAAAGAGAGGAGGGAGGAGGAGAGAGAGAGAGTGAGAGAGGACAGAGACATATGACATGAGAGAGATACATCGGTTGGTTGCCTCCCACCTGTGCCCCAACGGGGGCTGGCGATCAACCTACAACCCAGGCACCTACCCTTGACTAGGAATTGAACCCTCAACCCTTCAGTGTGCAGGCTGATGCTCTAACCACTGAGTCACACTGGCCAGAGCAAGACACGTGATACTTTTTAAAGAAATTTTCACTCTTTCTCTGACTGAACTAGGGAACTGATCCACCATTCTATGGCACACACTTATTAATTCAGCTTACCTATCTCTGTACAGTAAGTGTCTCACTTCCTAGTCTATTTTCCCCAAAGGATTATGAGGTAGTGAACAGTGGCTGTGTTTCTTGTTCATTTCTATATCCCTAGCACCTAACACACAGCACAGCACCTATATTTATATAGAACACATTAAAATGTAAAAATTTGAAAAACTATAAATTTCAGGTTCTAAGGGACATAGAGAAGGATGATAAGTTAATTTTAATTAAGGTAAATCTGAAATTGAGACATATTTAAAAATACTAGGGCTCCCTAGTATTTAAATTAACAATATACAACCACAATGTCAAATGTAATCTTAGTCATCTGGCTCATGTTTAAATTTAAAAATTAAGCCACAAGGGTATACATAATATGCTATTTTTGTTTCTAAAACACATACATGCATATATATTTTTAAAATGATTATCTCTAGAAGGAAGGAGGTAAGAAAAAACATTCTTTTTTAGAGCTCTACACTATTTACATAATTTCAGTAAGCACGTACTGTATATAATTAAACCTTTTTTCCAGCTCTACTGAGGTATATTGACAAAAGTTTAAGATATTTAAAGTGTACAATGTGCCCAGCCGGGCGTGACTCCAACTGAGCATCAACCTAGGATCCAAGAGATAGAGGTTTGATTCCCTGTCAGGGCACATGCCCAGGTTGTTGGCTTGATCCCTGGTCAGGGGCATGCGGAAGGCAGCCGATTAATGACAGCTCTCTCATCATTGACGTTTCTATCTCTCTCTCTCCCTTCATCTCTCTCTAAAATCAATAAAGATAAATAAATAAATAAATAAATAAATAAAGTGTAATGATTGATATACCTACACATTGTGAAAGGTTCCCCTCATCAATTCACATATGTACCCTTCTTTGTGTGTGAGAACATTTAAGTTCTACTCTTTTAGCAAATTTCAATTATGCAATACAGTGCTATCTTAAATGGCATCAATTGGAAGATGCATCATCACTGTTCTATCACTAGGAAAAATATGCTCCCAATTAAATTAATACATGCCATTCACTGTAAGATGCACTTTATTTCAGAGATGTTAACATGTTAAAAAAATCTCAGACTCAACAAAATATATCATCATTTTTATACTTAACTAAGTTAAAAATTTAACAATGAAATACAAAGAATCATCTGGTCTAGCCATCAGAAAATAATATTATTTGTTTCTTAGGTAAAGTGAGTTGAGATTCAGAAAAGGCATCCAGAAAATCATAAAAATTATATTAGGTTTCACTGTCATAAATTATTTTGGGAACGGTGACATTTTAATTTAATTTTTATTATTTTTTAATCCTCACCCAAGGATATTTTTCCCATTGTTTTTCAGAGAAAGTGAAAGGGGCGGGGGAGTGCAGGAGAGACATCAATGTGAGAGACATGAATTGGCTGACTCCCACACGTGCCCCGACTGGGCCTGGAATCAAGCCTGCAACCAAGGTACAGTGCCCTTGGCCAAAATCGAACCCAGAACCATTCAGTCTGGGGACTACACTCTAACCACTGAGCCAAACCAGCTAGGCGGAAATGGTGGAATTTTTATTCCAATACTTCAAACATAGGCACTTAAGATATATAGACCTTAAAAACTGAGCAGCACCCAGCCGGGCGTAGCTCAGCGGTTGAGCGTCAACCTAGGTTCCAGGTGATCGGGTTCGATTCCCAGTCAGGGCACATGCCCAGGTTGCGGGCTTCATCCCCAGTCAGAGGCGTGCAGGAGGCGGCCGATCAATGGCTCTCTCATCATTGATGTTTCTATCTCTCTCTCTCCCTCTCCTTTCCTTGCTCTGAAATCAATAAAGATATATTAAAAAAAAAGATGGCCAAAGTGGCAAATTTAATAAAAAAATAAAAATAAAAATAAAATTGAGCAGCAAAATGAGAAGTAAATTCAATGTAATTTTTTAAATGTTTTTAAATGATATTAGAGAGACGGGAAGGGAGAGGGATAGAGATAGAAACATCAATTGGCTGCCTCCTGCATGCCTCCTACTGGGGATTGAGCCCACAACCCGGGCATGTGCCCTGACCAGAAATTGAACCGCTGACCTCTTGGCTCATGGGTCAAAGCTCAACCACTGAGTCACTCCAGCCAGGTGTAAATTCAATGTTACGATTATATTTACCTGTCAGTAAGGAAGGCACAAATAAGATTTTTTGCTTCTTTTGATATGTCATTATCGTCAGGGAAGGTAAGTGAATTTTTATGGTTCATAATCTTACTGTAAGTTCCAACCAGAGAATCTGCATAAAAAGGTGTATCACCTGAAAAATTGACCAGGAAAACAAAAGCACAATAAGACACATTTAAAAAAATCAGTTTCAAAGGAAGAGTCAATGTTACCTGTTTAAAGATTACTAAATATACATAAACTAAAAATATACACTTAACATATAAAAAAAATAAAGTTGTTTTAATCTTCTAAATAGTTTTTAAAAGCACATACAAACGTTTGGATCGCTTTGTTTCCTATAAACAAAATCAACACTGCTTAATTTAGTAAGTATTTTAATAGAAGAAACTAAGTAATAAATTTTGGGATAAACAACTATTTTAGAGGTACACAAAATTCTCTTTTACTCACCTACAAGCATTTCATATAAAAATACCCCAACTGACCACCAGTCACATTCTCGTCCATAATAACCATCACCACCTTGAGATTTTAATACTTCAGGGGAAATATAATCAGGTGTTCCAACTGCTGTATCACATCGTACCATACCTTCCTAAAAAGAATTGCAGATCAAATTTTGATTAGGACATAAAATCTCAATTATTTAAAATGACATCCTATCTGTAGAATTAAATCTTTGGGCCATAAAATATCAAATAAAAATGTAATGAAAACAAAAATTAACAAGCAGTTTAATCATATATACATATTATATACACAGTATATTTATAGTATGTGTATACAAATAAGTGGTTTTTATTTTGTAATAATACAAGACACACTGCCAACATTTATTATTCCCCAAATTGTGCCAATATAATGATCTTATCTTAATCACAGAGAGCAAGTATATAAACTAATGCAAACAGACTGAGTGGCTAATAGGATGAATCATTTGATAATAATATATAAATGCTGATTTAATTATGTTTGCTAAAATAAGTCATTCAATTTAATAATGCCTGAAACTGAAGAGAACATGTAAGAACCAATTGCACAAATATAAAATGGGGAAGCATGGGAAAAGGGCATAATAGTGTTAAGCACACTGAAAGGAAAGTTCTATCTAATATGCACTTTAACTGTCCAAAAAACAACAACACAACTATACATACCTGTTACTTATTTTAGCTGGTATTAATGCAACAAGAGTTATAATTACATGTTCACACAAAAGTTCTCATGTAGTGTTGCCTTCTAACCAATAATTTTCCTTTTAAAATAATAAATATAACTTCCTGGATTTTGTTCGGTGATCAGTTTCAGAGAATATAAAATGTTTCAACTGAAAATAAAGCAGCATAATCGCTACTTCAACTACATATGTTATTTATTACATAAATAGTGAGAGTGGGTATCTTTTAAGATTGACTCCCAAAATGTTCATAAAAGGCTAAGAAAAATACTAAAAGGCAAAGTAAAACACTAAAAATACACAAATTATTGAAATCTAATATTTATGAAACTCTAATTTTAACACTGGCATTAGTATTTAGGGACTATTTCCATTTCTAGTTATCAGTAGTATATTACAGAGTTATTATAAAGGATTTAGTAAATCTGGCAATCTAAACTTACCCTAAATAGAGAGGAAAAAAATAAATCCCTTACAATTTATTAATACAACATTGAAATTATAGCATCTATTTCAACAAGTGAGAGAGGTCACATCAATTCTATATAAGTCCAGTTATGGTTAGTAAATTCTTATAGCATTTTCTAAAAAGCATCTGTCTTGAATTAGCAAAAACTAAATTAAAATCTAATTATTTAACCTTATTCATCTTCATACAAGTACCAAAATCGGCTAACTTCAAATGTCCAGATTTATCCAGCAGCATGTTATCAGGCTTCACATCTCTGAGGGGGAGAAAAAAAAGAGCATTTCTGAAAAAGATCAGACACTGATAAAAACTATATGAGGCAATTATTTTAGGCTATTTATCCTCACTCAATGTAGATAAGGCACTTTTGACCTGTATGTGCTTTCTATCCACATGCAGAAATTGAACTTGAGCAGGGAAACCTCTGTATATGTTAATGCCTCAGAAGAAGACATATAACAGTTCCCTTCCGTTTAAGTAGAGTCCAATTCTTCCGGAGGGGTGGGAGTGGGGGTAGGGATAAAATCATTTGAGAGAGAATAACCACAAAAAAATGAAACACTCAGACATAAAAAGTAATTGAAACACACGTTTCAACGTAAGTATATAAATCATTCCAGGACAGGGTCTAAGTCACTTTCATCTTTGTATCCTTGGAACTCAGCATAGCAACTGCACTGTGAATTCAAATGGTATTTGCAGAACAAATAAAATTATTATTCTAACAAATAAATATGACATATTCACTAATTAAAAGCAAATTAATTTGTATATTAAAAAATGAAAATTATTTAACACTCTGGCACATACCTCAGAAAACTAGCTTACATTTTTACTGTTCAGAATACCAAATAAAAGCTATATAATCAGATTAAAGGGTAGTGAAAAATACATTTATATCAACATTAAGCTGAAATGTTAAAACTACAATTTCAAAGTTTTAAGTTCTGAAATACCACTCATGTTATACAGAAGGAGAAGAGGTGGATTTAGAGTGGGAAATACTAATCAAATAAAATTTAAGTATTTTCAGCTTCTCTTCAACAAATGAGAAAATTTAAAGTATTTTTATCTTTACCTATGAATAAAACCCATGGAATGGATCGCATCTAATGCAAGGACAACTTCTGCAGTATAGAATCGTGCCCATTTTTCAGGCACATCATAGTTGCTCATTAAGTTTACAAGATCTCCACCAGGCATGTATTCCATCACCATGTAGAGATAACGGTCATCTTGGAATGCATAAAAAAGCTATAGAAATACAAAAAGAATTCATTAAAATCAAGCAAAATTGTTTCATTTAAAATTGGCGAAAATATTAATAAGAGTTAATTAAAATAGTCAAATGGCAGTGGTTGTAGCAATCTTTAAAAATAGAAACAAATGCAAACACCACAAAGACCCTTGCATATGCAAAGGAACTATTAACAGTGATTATTTCTGAGTATTTAGATGGAGACTTTTTCTCTACATACTTTTTTATTTTAACTTTTTTATTTATTTATTTTAGAGAGAGAGAAGGGGGGAGAAAGAGAAACATCAATTTGTTGTTTCACTCATTCATGCACTCACTGGTTGATTCTTTTATGTGCCCTGACAGGGGATCGAACTTGCAACCTTGGCATATTAGGACAACGCTCCAACCAACTGTGCAACCCAGCCAGGGAAATATATAACCCTATACTAACTGAATTTTTTATACTGAGAATTAAAAATTATAATAGCTCTGCCCTGGGAGGTTTGACTCAGTGGTTAGAGCATCGGCCTGTGAATCGAAGGGTCTTGGGTTCGATTATAGGGCACGTACCTCGGTTGTGGTTTCAATCCCCAACTCTGGTAGGGGTGCATGGGGGAGGCAACTAATCGATGTTTCTCTCTCTCTCTCTCTCCCTCTCTCTCCTCCCCTCCCTTCCACTCTCTCTAAAAAGTCAATGGAAAAATATACTCGAGTGAGGATTAAAAATAAATAAATAATAACAGTTTCATACAAGTCTCTTAAATATTTTGGTTCTAATTTAACTTATGTTTTAGTGGGGTTTACTGTTTAATTTATATCAATATCACAATTCTCAAGAAGTTTGGTAAACTGGGCTATAGTCTCAGCTGTCCCTTAGCTGTGTGACTTGGCAATTTACTTAAACTCCCTGAGTCTCTGTCACTATAATCCTTTCTAGAAGAATTAAGACTATCTTGTTTGACTTTTATACCTGCTTGCTGCTCAGCATCTGGATGTCTGGCGATCAGTGAATGCTTAATAAATGTATAATGAATAAAGCATAAATTAATCTATAAATTGGGGGTATACCTAATAGGGATTAGCTGTCAGGTTTAAAAAATTAGCTAATATAAAAAGCATTCAATACAACAGATGCTCAATAAATGACGGCAGTCAGCAAGAGGAGGAGCAGTAACAACTAACAAAGAAACAGGAAGAGGGCAGCAGCTAAACTCAAAGCAGAAAGAGTAAATTCCATTGATATGAAATTGGAAAGAATAGCTGGCATAAATGTATATGTGACCAGGGTTGAAGTTTAAAAAAGAGCAAATTTACAATAGAACATTTTAAGTAAACATAAGATTAGAATCCCACTAAGATGAATAAAATAAGCCCTAGAGAAAAATATACCTAATTTACCTAGACATTTCTATGTTTCATTTTTCAAGTGTTTAATGACTTTAGTTACAGATTCAGTTATTTTAATTAAAAAATATATTTTGGGGAAAGATAAGAAACTAGCATCTCCTGGCTATCTCAGATATATAATTGTGCACTATAATTAAAGAAACATTGTTGATACTGGTGGCACTTTATTTACAAACAGTGTATCAAGAAAAACAAAGCTTCAAGCACATAAATTGTAGGCTTAACCCTAAAAGTAATAATTATGTCACATGTCTTAACTCTCCAAAGAACACTAGACATTTTCTGCATCAGTGGTTCCCAACCCAAGGAGACAATCAATAATGTCTGAACACATTTTTGGTTGTTAAAACTGGTGTATGGGAGTGGGGAGGACTGCTACTGGCATTACCTGGGTAGAAGCCAGGAATGGTAAAAATCTTATAATGCACAGGAAAGCCCCCAACAACAAAATATTATAATGTTATATAATAACATTATGTTATATAATGTTATATAATACTGAGCCCAGGAAACCATGCTCAGTATAAAAACAGAGGAGACAGTCAAGTATAAAAACAGTCAAGTATAAAAGTCTCATTATGTAAATTTTAAACATTTTTCATATCCTTCTTATCCCAATTATAAGGATGCTTAAGTTAGGATATGCTTCATTATATACTGTAAATAAATAAATAATACATAAATCCCAAAATACATGGTAGGAATAAGAAATGGTCTAGCCCAATAGTCTTTCTTTTTTTAACCAGAAGACTTTACTTCCCCCATATGAAATCTTACATTAGGATCCCAAGATATAAGATAGATAAAAAAACATGGAGCTGCTCTAGTTGAAGCAGAAACAGAAAACCCAGAATTATAACCAACCCCAAATTTCTGCTTCTTCTTATGACTTCACCTGAAGTATCTCCACCATTTAAAATAACGAATCTAAGCCAACTTTCACATTTTTAAGCAGAGATGTAAATAACCTGACCACAGCTGTACAGATGGGCCTACGGCAGTAAAGACTAGGAGCTACAACACTGACACTTCCTTCCATGGAAAAGCCTAAAGCTAATTCAATATTATTTGGAGGCCTAGCTTAACTCACTTTCCCCCTCATTTTTTCCATTCCTTCCTCTCCACAAAATGAGAGAGACAACTAGATGAAGAGACAGTTAAATAAATAAAATATCATTATTTGGGGGAAAGAACTTAAATTTCAATATTATAACATAAGTATCTACTTAAAGTATAATAATGTATGACTTCCCCCAAATCAAAGCAGATTAAATTTTCTAATATTTAAATTCTACAGAAACATAGTTATTTTGCTTTAGCCTTACTTTCCTCATGGAGATGATTCAATAAAACTAAATTTTATTATATTAAAGATAACGGTGTATTAGACAATTCTGTAATTGCCAATAAATTCTCTATTACTGTTCTGGGAAAGAAACTAAGCTTCTCAGATATGTTTAGTTAACAAACTAGTATAACAAAAATGAAACAGTAGTAATATCATACCTGAACAACCCAAGGGCTGTTAGCAAAAGCCATGATGTCCCTTTCTTCCCAGAAAAAAGCAGAATCAGATCTCTTAATCATTTCAAATTTGCTGAGAAGCTTCATAGCATATACCTTCCTGGTGGATTTATGCCTTACCTTTAAAATTGAAAATAGAAAATAATAAACTTTTGCATTAACATTTAAACTTAAAGCTCAATGCTTCCTAGAACAATTTGTTAAATGATTTTAACAACTTATTAAATAATTTAACATTACTGTTCTAAGCTATTTTTTCTTCCCTTCTGCTGAATTATCCCAATTAGATTATAACAAAGCTTTAACTACCAGAAGCAAGTAATGTTAGGAAAAAAATCTTTATTTTCACTATTATAGTACATTCTCCCCCCTCCATCCTGCTATATGTATATGATGCTTCCTATTTATAAAACTTACTACTTTAAAGATTTCTCTTCTAATGCTTGAAAACTTTTTTCTACCCATGAACACGTGGGGAAAATATTTCACACTACTGAATTTGACCTAGGCTTTCATATCCTTAAGCAATAATATCTAGAGCAATTTAAAGAGATAATTTTATAAAAATAGTATTTCCTAAATAACATGTTAAAAATACAAAAGGATTTTTTAATTTTAAAAAGTTAGTTTCTTAATAGTATTAAAATAACCTACCAATTGAACTTCTCCAAATGCACCTCTGCCAATCACCTTCACTACTTCATAATCTTCGGCTTTCATTCGTAAATCTCTAATTTTATTTATTGTGTCTTTATCTGTATGAAAAGAATAGTTCATCATTTTAAATCACTGAAGCATTTAACTAACTGCATATTTTACATTCAGGTTTTGAGAAACACAATAAAAAAACAAAGAAATTCACTGAGGATTACTTTATAATATATAGTAAAATGTAGTTATAAAATAGAAAAATGTTTAATATACTAAGAAATGTTTTAAATAAATTCTGAAATGACTTCAATTTATTGAAGTTTTCATTAAAATCGGACTTATTAGAAAACAAATATACTATAAACACACACAAGGATAATTATTTAATTAGTTATTGGTATTTTTAAGTACACATCAAATTTGAATTGAAGGACCATGCGTAGATATTTTTAAATTAATGAAATAAAATTTTCTCTTTATCAAGTCAGTTTTGATCCTTTAAAAAAGATATAACTAACTTAAGATATCAAAGGCAAATATGCTAAACAATCACATACTTGTATGATTACATTTCTCTATTTGAACTTAAGACTTTAATTTAAAACAGTGGGAATCACTACAATTATTTATATAAACCTGTCATGCTACAAACTACAATAATTTACAAATCCCCACTGGATAGATATTCTAATTCCTAATTTGGTCATAGATTAAAATAGGGCTATTTTAATCCACATGGGTCAACACTGGCATGAGATTACATGGAAAAGCTTCACATTTCAGAGTTGTACAAAATACAGAACAGCTATTAAACTTAAGTTCTAGTTCCTAATAAAAGCTGCAAATAATACTCTTTCTTTTTAAATGTGCATTTCAACCCAAGTGTTTGTATTCATTATGACCAATAAACACATGCAGCAGAGGGCACATTTTCACACAGAGATACTGTAAGTACGTTTAATTTTAGGTTACATATTTACTGCAAGATGCACCAGAAAGATATAGACGATAATTAATTAATTTACTACACAAATATTTGTGGTCTACTATACAGGCTCTACAGTAATCACTGCAGATATATAAAGATAATTTTAAAACATAGTTCTTACTCTTAACATACAATAAAAACAAAAAACAAAACACCCCAAAAGATAAAGGAGGTAAGCACAGTTTGTTGAATACTAAAGACACCTAACCCAAGCCTGCCTGGAAGGCAGGTAGCTAAAAAAGGGTTTCTGGAAATGACGACATCTGAAATGAGTCTAAAATGAAGAGTAGCAGTTAGCCAGGTCGAGGAGAAGAAAAGCTAAAATACTACAGTCAGATGGGTAATACAAGCAAGGCACAGAGGAACTGTATACAAGAAGTTCTGCGTTCCTAGAGTATCAAGTGTGTGGTAAGGATTAGCAGGAAAGGTTGGAGAGACTCAAACTGGTTAAGGAGCTAGAACTTTACCTGTAGGCCAGTAGTTATAAAATTATTATTTAGCCATCAAAAATATTTTTCACAATAAAATTTAAAGCATTTCAATATGTAAAACAGACGAAAGAAAGGCCTGGCCCTAGCCTGTTTGGCTCAGTGATTAGAGCGTCGGCCGTGGATTGAAGCGTCCCGGGTTTGATTCTAACTAAGGGCACATACCTCAGTAGAGGCAACGAACTGACATGTCTCTCTCACACAGATATTTCTCTCCCCCTTCTCCTTCCCTTCCCCTCTCACTGAAAAGCAATGGAAAAAATATCCTCGGGTGAGGATAAAAATTAAAAAAAAAAAAGGCCTGAACTAGAATAATGTATTATATAATAGCCTCTGGGGTGGAGAAAGGATCCCTGGCTCTGGTTATATGAGGGTTAGAGCCATAAATAGACTATAAAGTCTGTAGTTTGATCTCAGAAAACATATCTGCTGCAAATTTGTGTGGGAATGGAGATCTTGCTTCCTGTTTTAATTTCTGACAAGCACCGGAAATGTATAAAGCAGCCTGAACTACTTGTGATTCAAATAGTGTTAGCTGTCAAAATGACTTTTATTATATTTAAGTGTTGCATAAAAGTGTTATTTTGCTTTTTAATTTTAGGATGAATTCCATGAGAAACATTATCAAGTCTGGAGCAAAAACTTATTTCCAAAGTCAATCAGTGTCAATGAAAATTCAATGACAGCTGAGAGTTCTTCTCATTCAGAAAAACCTTCATCTTCATTCTTGTCTTAGTCAGCTCATACTTCCAGACAAAATACCATACACAGACTGGGAAGTTTAAACGACAGACATTAATTTTCTCCTAGTTCCAGAGGCTGGAAGTCCAAGATCCAGGGCCAACCTTTTTGGTTTCTGATGAGGCCTCTCTAGGTTTGTTGGGCAGCTGGAGTTTTTCTGTTTACTCACATACTTGTTCCTTGTGTGTGCACACAGGTTAAGGACACTAATCCTATCTTATCAGAGCCCTACCCTTATGACCTCATTTAACTTTAATTTCCTCCTTATTGGCCCTATCTCCAAATACAGTCACTTTGGGGTTAGGAACTTCAACATATGAATTGGGAAGAGGGGGTGCAATTTAGTCCACAGCAATCCTTAATTTAAAAAAGAAAATCACAATAAAAATTACCACTATTAAGCCATCACACTGCTGTATGCTAAGATAATTGGGATGTTCAGCTTCAAATTCTGACAAAATTTTACAGAACCAATGATGGTTAAGTCATGAAAGTAAATGATATTTACGGCTGACACTGACAATAGCACATGATAGACTAAAATATTTTCCATAAAGTTCCTGTTGATGTATAATACATTAAAGAGCTACAGGCTTTAAACACCTTGTTTTCACAAGCTTTGTTAGTTTGCCCAACTAAGCCTTTTTCTGCACCACACATAATTTTAAATAGCATTACTTGTAACACACCTTAGCACACTGCACTTCAAGTTGTACTCAGTGCTTTCTCAACTTTAAAAATATTCTTGCCTGTACTTGTTCCATGCAGACTATATATTGAGGATAATTCTTTACTCACTTCAAACTCGGTATTGACTTCTCAAATAAACAACAGTCAAGAAAAATCAATCAAAATTGTTTGTCTTGTTTTTTAATTGACTCTTGATGCTGCTCCCAATGACCTCAATTCTTTGAGCAACTGTTCTTGCTAAAAAATAGCCTTAAGCAAGTTTCTCTCTCTTCACACATTTGTTTTGTTCTGCAAACACTCAACCTCGGTGAATGACTTTCTCTGCTTGGCTAACTAATAAGACACCTGTAAACCTATGTAAGGTTGCAGCCTGATGTTACTTCTTAATTTTTGTGAAGAAAATCTGCTGTGATGAGATATTGCATTTTAAATTTTCTATTTTTTCTGACTGTTGCTTTCCTGGAGTTGGGGATATTATGATGAATGCTTACTCTGGTAATATCAATGTACAGTATATTGTATTTTTCCCCTCTTGCTTTTCAGAGAGAGTGGAAAGGGGGAGGGGGGAGGGAAACATCGATGTGAGAGACACATCAATTGGTTACCTCCCGCACGTGCCCTGACCAGGGCTGGGGATTGAGCCTGCAACCGAGTTGCATGCCCTTGGCTGGAATCGAACCCAGGACCCTTCATTCCACAGGCTGATCCTCTAACCACTGAGCCAAAATGGCTAGGGCTAGTATATTGTATTCTTGTAATACAGTTATAGTGTCACTGCATAATAAACACAATGTTTTGCCATCTAACTTGATAAAATAATCCACACTCCACTGTGCCTCAAAGTGATAGCATTCAAAGTTCACTTTTCTTTTTTAGATTTGACACAATGGGTATGCATGGCAATAAAAAAAATAAAATCTGTGGTATGGTGATACATATGGAACACTGTCAAGTTGTAACTATGCCTCTATAATTTACAGTGTACTGAGTACCAGTGTGAAGCTATGACAATGCCACATATGATTTCTGTCACAATTACTCAACTCAGCCTATTTATAGCACAAAAACAATCTTAGCCAAAACATAAAAGAATGAGCATGTCCCAATAAAATTTTATTTATAAACACTGAAATAAAAATTTCATATAATTTCCAAGCTTATTCTTCTTTTGACTTTTTAATCAACCATTTTAAAAATATAAAAATCATTCTTAACACATGAACCATACAAAAACAGGTGGTAGGCCACATTTGGCCTGTTGGCTATAGTTTGCCAATCCCTGCTTCAATGGAAACCCAGCTCCCTTCTGAGGGCACCATTTTCCCTCACATATGCCTTATACCACTGGCCCTGAAAGTAGGGTAGGTGAACTCCACTGCCATCTCTATACTCCCAGCTGAAATCTGCCAGCTTTGATTTTCATTTTATTAGGTTATATCTCCCACTACCTCTCATTGTTGCTCTCATCTACTGACCCTTAGGTCATCACATCTCATTGCTAGATAATCTTAAATTCTGGTTTACTGATCTCTTCAATATTCTCCTGTTTTTAATTCTTAAAGATTTTAATATAACAATAGGTTATATTTCTAATAACCTGGCTTCTTAATGCCTTTAACATCTCTCTTCAATGATCTTGTCATCTATATTACCTCAGCCATTCCATTTCCATGGTCACATACTGGACATTGTTATTATCAGTAATTATAATCCTCCCATAATTTCAGTTTCAAATCTTATACTCTCTAAGCACTCCCTTAGCTTTCCTGCTTACTCCCTCCAATAACTCAACTCTAACAATCCCCAATCCCATCAAGACCTTCAACTACTGATCCTATCCCATTTTTACTTAACTTCATCACACTCACAACTTGTCTTTCTTACCTACCCAGCTTATATTTCATGTTCAATCCTATAACCAATTGCTTGCATACACCTTCAATGCCTTGGCTCTTAAACTATACTTAGTTTGGCAAAACCATAATCTTAGTTAAATCCTACTTTCCAACTAACTCTATATTAGCACCCATGCAGTTGAATATATCTGGATAAATACATAAAATCATATTGACTGATCCCACTTTAAAGTCATAATCACAAAGCTGGCCTTTAATTCTGCTTGGTAATCATGTATTTCCATAATCTATACACTCTCCCACTCTGCTAGAGACCATATTTCCCATTTTCTTCTTTCTTC